AATATTCATAAATAAAATGAAATAATATATTCAATATTTAAATCATTATTGTATATTATAAAAAAGAAAAAAAAAATCCTCCAATTCAATTGGTCCGCTTCCACCCCAAGCATTTAATTCCAACCGAAATAATAAAAAGAATTAGACTTATGGAATCAATCTCTTAATCAAGTCCCAAACAACCAATATCATTACATTTACACCCAAGGGTTGTAAAAATTCCCCAAGTCTCATACAAAACCAAAATGACGATAAAGACTAGGGTTTCCAAGAATCTGTTGGGAGTAAAGAAGAAGAGGCAAAAACGAATTTGGCTATCTAATTTGTGTATTGAATTCATTAACTGAAAACTGGTACAAGAATCAGTTTTACAACTGATTTTACAGACATTAAACGACATCATTTTGGAGCCGAATTCTCAACTACTAACTTACTCAAAACGACAGTGCTTTGAACTATCCTATAACCTCAAAACGTCACCGTTAGACTTAATCCTAACAGCCCCTGTCAAGCCAAACTGTGTTAACAGTTTTGCTTGCAAAAACTAATGTGACAAACTAATGCATCTGTAAAAAAAAAAAAAAAGGCCTGTAGAGTATAGAATGCAGCTTATCAAACGCAACATCCATCAACTAAGCTTGTCAAATGTATCCTTCATCAAATGATACACTACCTATGTCAAAAACAAAATTCAAAGAATGCAATATTCATCAAAGTAAAACATTGCCCCTGTTAAAAAATTCAAACCGCAGCATGCTTCAGCCAAAACAGAGCCTTTTAAAATCATTTCATCATTCCATTCAACAACACATCATTCCATGTAGCAACACAACAATAAACACAGGCTTTTGTAGATCATTCCAACAAGTACTGCTTTTGCAAATCACTCCATGCAGCAACACAACAGTAAATTCAGGAAGCAATTTTTCAACCAAAACAGAGCCTTTTAAATCGTTCCATCATTCCATTCAACAACACATCATTTCATGCAGCACTACAGCAGTAAACTTAGGAAGCTTTATATAAACTAGCTAAACAGCACAACCTGCAGAAAGTCGTAGCTAGACAACTCAATATTTGCATCATCTGAACTAGGCAACCTTTATGGTATCATGTGCAATAACATTTAGTTTTTGTTTCAAAGTAAGAAACTGAGTGATTGACAGTGCTTTAGTCAACATGTCAGCAATTTGCAATTTAGACGGAACATATTGGACTACAAGTTTCTTGGCAAGTACCTACTCCCGGAAATAGTGTGCATCAATCTCAATATGTTTGATCCTGACATGGAAGACAGGATTAGTAGGCAAAGCCCCTGCATTGATGTTATCACACCAAATTACCGGAGGCTTGTTGAATTTCAAGTTCAACTCATCAAACAAACTTTGGAGCCAAGCCACCTCAGTGGTAGCTTGAGCCAAGGCCTTGTACTCGGCTTTAATGGAGGATAAAGCAACCACTCTCTATTTCTTTGGACACCATTGAATGAGGTTTGGTCCTAAGTATACACAATACCCACTGGTGGACCTGTGATATGCAATGTTGCTGCCCCAATCGGCATCCGAATAGCACTCAATATCCAAGGCAACTACTGGTTTAAAGATTAGACCATGAGTAACGGTTCCTTTAAGATATCGCAAGATGCGTTTAAATGCTTGCCACTGCAGATTAGTGGGATTCTAAAGGAATTGACTGAGTTTATTGACGGCAAAACTGATATCAAGTTTGGTTAGGACAAGATATTGTAAAACACCTATGTTGCTTCTATATAAACTTGGATTGGTAAAGGGAGAACTATCTTCAGGAAACAACTTGGTACCAGATACCATGGGTGTGGAACACGGGTTAGCTTCAAGCATATTGGTTTTGCGCAGCAAATCTGTGGTGTACTTAGACTGTTTAAAGTGTATTCCCGTTGATCCTTTGGTAACCTCCAACCCAAGAAAATAGCGGCGGATTGATCTAAGTGTCTGCAAAGCAAATTCGTCATTGAGTTCATGTAAAGACTAGGGTTTGCAAGAATCTGTTTGGAGTAAAGAAGAAGAGGCAAAAACGAATTTGGCTATCCAATTTGTGTATTGAATTCATTAACTGAAAACTGGTACAAGAATCAGTTTTATAACTGATTTTACAGACATTAAACAACATCATTTTGGAGCTGAATTCTTAGCTACTTGCTACTCAAAACAACAGTGCTTTGAACTGTCCTATAACCTCAAAATGTCATCGTTAGACTTAATCCTAACAACCCCTCACCGAATAGGATTTAATACTCATACTTTCGCATAAGCCCTTCTCTTTTGCAGAAGCATAAACATTTCTGCTCTGCTTTTCACAACACCCACCTAAATAAAAACCCTAATTTCCCAATCCTCTTTACCCCTTTTATTAATTCTATTCAGTTTTACTCCTGCTAGAAAAGTCTTTATTAGGCTTAGTAATGGTGGTGACTGGTAAGTATATGGATTTTAAACTGTAGAAATATTTGAAAAAAGTCTTTTGTAATATTTATCATAACATAATTTAAATATGACATTAATTAAAAATATTATTCAAAACATATTTTAAAGATTCTATAAAAAAATTCAACTATTTAATGAAAGTCTCGGTTTTCTTACTAGCCCAACCAATCAAATAACTGTTTTACTATTTTATTGAACATTGTGTTCTGGTACAAACACATACATATATATAAATCTATTTATGTTTTAACAAGATTCATCTTAAATGAAATTCATATACCTGTTAAAAAAAAAAAAAAAAATTATATTTCTATAATCAAATTTGGGATCCTATAATCAATATGGCGCTAACTTATAACATAAAGAAATGTTTATATATTTGATATATGTATAGTAATTTAAGCTTTTAGATAAAATGATAATTTACCATGGTTTTAGAATTGAAGATATCAAGTTTTAATCCACACATCCAAACTGAAAAAAAAAATTTTAATTTTATGTGAGCAAGCATACAGATCAAATATACGTTTAGCTATTATATATAGTTTGTAGTATGTAGCATTACTGATGACCTTGAAACATTTAATTTTGGAAAATAATACAGTTACCGAAGAATACGCACCGAATTCATATACCGAATGACGTAGCGTCATCTTGATCGTCAATTAACTATGAATTTCCTTTTTTAAGAAAACAAGATGACGCCACGGATGCATGAATTCGATACGTATTCTTCGGTAACTGTAGCATTGCTCTTTAATTTTTAGGGGCACACAGACGTGAATAGTTGTCTTCAAGTCAAGAGAAGGACAACAGTTGTTTTAAATTATTAAATTTATAACCTACTTGTTCCTGAAGGTCAGGTGAGGTAGTTCTTGGGACTAAAATATTACTTTTTGAAAGATTGGGACTAAAAATAACCCACAACGTTAATAACAAAAAAATAGACTGCAAAAATCTCTTTCACGTGGCGTAACATTATGTGTCCTTATATCTGAACTCATTCTACAATACTAGTCCTTATCACACCAGATTACTCATATAAAAGCCAACATTCATCATTCGCGACCTTCGTCAATGTTTTTAGAGCCACCGTAAACTGCCGTCAAACTCTCCGTCACGCCATCGCAAACGTTTTCGCTGATTAGGAAGCCGTCAGGCCGGTATGTATTTTTCTATTATTTTTTTCATTATTTTTATCATATTACTGTTATTCTGAAATTTGTTGATATTTGTAAAATTGCAAATCTCGATTTTTTTTTTCTTTCATTCTTCGAATGAAAATTTCGCACGACTAATAAAATATCCATATATTGTCAGATGCTCTTTTTATTAGTATCAATTTTTTTCATTATTAAGATCTGATGACTTAAAAAGCTCCCGATGAGTTACTTCGCAGGCTTTGCCTGCCGGAACACACGAAAAATGTTTATTTCGCAATTAGAGAACCTGAATCAAAATCCATGGTGTATATACTTTGTGCCCATAATTTATGGGAGAGATCGAGTTTAGATGTCGAGTGTCTTATCAGGGAACTGCGACCTGATGGGGTTGTAGCTCAAGTGGGTGTTCAGAATAAAGTGCAATGTGAGGATATTGAATTAGGAGATAAAAGTGATGATTTGGTTCCTACTTCTTTGTTTGGAGTGACTAAAGGATGTTTTGTTGATAGGATTGATAAGGAAGTGTATGAGAATTGGGCTGGGAACTTGGTTTTGAGGGAGATTTTTGGGATCGGTTTTAATGGTCCTTTTTTGGCTGCCAAAAAGGCAATCAAGGATGTTGGTCGATTGTTTATAGTGCTTGAATCATCTATGGTTTAGAGACCCTATTGCAGATAAATCTTTTGGGGGAGTAAATCAGGGAATAAAGGTCAATGTTTGGTTAGTAGTTTGGTTCCGCAGAATGTGGGCTCGGTTGTGTCATCAACTTTGAGGAGGTTTTATCTTACTAATGACGTTGAGTCACAGATGGTGAGATTGTCAACTTCAGATATGGATTGTCTGGGTTGAGATTGAGGCCTCCCAATTATAATTTATATTTGTCAAAGGAATTTCAGTTGAGACGCCGTTATTCAATTCCGTCATTTGTACAATCCATTTGTCCATTACTCTTGGATTTGCATGATATATATTTGCTGATCTCCCATCAATGTCAAGAGCTCTTGCCCTTGCACAAAAGATGCTTTTTGATGTGAATAGAGGAGAAGTTGTGGATACTTAAGTTATTTCTGAAGTTCACACCTTTCAAATTGCAGTTGAGAGGGGTTGAGAATGACTCTTAACAATGTTGCTCAGCTACCTATCAATAAATTAAGGGATTCTTACTCATCTAATTTTTTATTTTTCTGAGCTTCCACATGAGGATAAATCGCAAGCACTCCTTGCACAGTCTCTTCAAAGTCAAGCTAAGAAGTTCAAGACTATGGTAGCAGTGGTGGATGCTAGTTACTTAGCTGCCTTCGAAAACATTGGAATACTCCTATTACTGATAAAGTCAAAGATTTGATTGGAGAGTCAGTTACAAGCTGCAAAGATGATGGGGGATATTTCAAATCACATGGATAAGAAGCGTTCATTATCTAATAAACCTGTCATGGCTGTGGGTGCAGAAGCAACTGTTGTCTTAGGATCTTCATCTCTCACTAAACTTTTTCCTACATCAACCTTCATGAAGGTTATAACGTTTAAAGCTCCTGTTTCGCTTAAGCTTTTTCTTACCCAAACCCAGAAGGCAATGGTGATAGCTTTAGGCAAGACTCAAGTTTTTGCCCGGGGACTAGCAACTTCTGGGTCAAATACATCTATCTTAAAGGCAGTAACTTCTGCTGAGAAAATTCAGGCAGTGGCCCACAATGTCATAGCATCTGTTGAGAAGACCAGTTTTCAACAATGAGAATAGCATTTTATGAGATAATGAGAAAAAGGTTCAAGGAATTGAAACAGTTACCACTTATGATTCAAACACTAGAGAGTTTGTTATAAACACTCCTTGTGAGTCAGCTCAAAAATATTGTATTGGTGGACTGAAATTTTTCTTTCTTTAAGATTTGGTTGGTAATTTTTGTTGTTCAGTTTGATTCCCATGCCATGGGTAGAAATTGTACTTGCAGCATCTGTGTTTACATAGTTTTTGTTGTTTTGCCTATTTAGCATGCAACACAGACGGTGGTCTTTTCGCAGCTTGAAATTAATGGGAAAAATCAAGGGGTTCATGCATTCATTTGCCAGATCAGGGATGTAGATGATAAAATTTGTCCTAATATCCTGATAGCTGATTGTGGTCATAAAATTGGGTTAAATCGGGTTGATAATGGTTAAATTTGGAAAGAGTTATAAGACCTTTTGTGGCTAAACTGCTCTACTTTATGTTTGAATGACCTTAAAAAGTTATGCTCTCTATAGTTATGATGTAACTCAAAAGTTTTGGAATTTTTTCAGGTTCGATAATGTCCGAATCCCCAAGGAGAATTTGTTGAATTCAATTGTTGATGTTTCACGTGATGGAGAATATCTTAGTGCAATCAAAGACCCAGATCAGGTAATTACCTTACTGATAGATGGCATATTGTTATCTTCTTCTAGCTTAATTTATCTGATAAGATGACTTTCTAAGCTCTTATATATTTGTGTTATTTTTAGTGATTTGCAGCTTTCATGGCCGCTTGAACATCTGGTCGTGTAAATATAGCTTCAGCAGCAGTGTACATATCAAAGTTAATAATGGATTTTAAATCTGGTCTCCCTTCAGTTGCAAAACTTTTGCAGTTGTATATGATTCTTGGGCCAGGGATGCAGGTAATCCTGAGAAACTTAATGAACTACTGGAAATTAACATTCTTCTCCTTTTAGATTGGCTTATCAATAGCTATAAGGTATGCATTATCAAGGCGGGCATTCTCTATTACACCAAATGGACCTGAAATCTTGTTGCTCGATTATCCAATTCATCAACAGCGACTATTGCCTCTCCTTGCAAAGACGTAAGCATCTCGATAACTTGTATTGTGAAAATTAAATTTTATTGTAACTCTGGGATTAAACTTTTCTCCCTTCTCTTCCCTTACATTTATAGTATCTGGTATGAACTGAGTGTATATGTTACTGGATTTGCCAGTGTGGACACATTTACAAAATTTTCCCAATTGACTCTTATCTGTTTGCAAAGTAAGTAGGGAGTTTGATTCTATTGAAAGTGTATATTTTTCACTTAGTAATGGTAATAAATTTATCCTGATTGCTTTGGTAATATGTGGTATTGGAATAAAAGTAATTATACTGGACCTATCTATTGATGATCTTAACTAATAAACTAGTGTTGCTATTTCTGCTCCTATCCTCCCCCTTTCCTCCCCATTATTGATTCTGCAACAGATATACTATGAGTTCTGCTGCAAACTACATGAAGATGTTATATGTGAATAGGACACCTCAGTCAAACAAAACCATTCATGTTATTTTAAGTGCATTCAAGGCTACTTTTATCTGGCACAATCAGCGAACACTACAGGTCAGGAACTTCAACTACACATCGATTATTTACATTCATGTTAAGTGGTCTGATTCAGACTACTGTTCTTTTAGGAATGTCGTGGAGCATGTGGAGGACAAGGCCTGAAGACTGAAAATCATGTTTGTCATTTGAAAAGTGAATTTGATGTGCAATCTACTTTTGAAGGGGACAACAATGTCCTGATGCAGCAGGTTAATGTCTATGGTCATCTCTCTCATAAATTATGACAAAGAATTGCAATATATCCCTATTTATTGTTTATAAGTGACCTGCATATCTATATACTACATTTTTGTTGGAGACAGGAATAGGTATCAGAGAAAATGTTAGATTCTAACTTACCTTCTTCCGAAATGACATGAATTGTTTAGTAGCCTTCCTAAAAGTGTTGGGTCATAAGAATACTTTTGAACTTGAATCTTTTATTGAATTAGTTTATATTTCCTCCATGTTTGACCTTTNTACATTTTTGTTGGAGACAGGAATAGGTATCAGAGAAAATGTTAGATTCTAACTTACCTTCTTCCGAAATGACATGAATTGTTTAATAGCCTTCCTAAAAGTGTTGGGGCATAAGAAGACTTTTGAACTTGATCTTTTATTGAATTAGTTTATATTTCCTCCATGTTTGACCTTTAGTAGATTATAGATTTTAGAGTTTTTAGTACTGATATTAGCTAGTGATTTATTTGGATACACTGATTGATGTTTATGCAATTGTCCTTTCGTGTTCACTTATTGGTGTGGTTGCTGCTCTGTATGTTGAAGCAGATCATATACCCTAGTTTTGCATTCTAAATATTGTCATTATTTTGGTGGTGTTTGTGGATCATGTTATTATGTGATCAATGGTATCTATTTCTAAAAATAAGGCCATATCATTTGGAATACAAACTTGGGATGTATAGTACTACTAGTTTTATATTAAACATAGTAGTGGCAGATGCATTAAACTGCGTACATGTATACAAAAGAATAATTTGAAAATAACTCCGAGATCTTGGGCATTATTTTATGTAGCCAGTAGTATGATTACGAAAGCCTCACTGGTGATTAGCTGATTATTAGGTAGGAGCCGTATGGCTTGCATATTTGCCATACAACTTGCTCACTTATGCATTTTCATTTCAAGAACTGCTCTACTAGGCATAATTCTTTTGTGTTTGGGTTAATTTTTTACTATTTAACAATCGACTGGTTGCTAAGCAAGGGAAGCAGACTGGGAAGTTTGTTTCAGCTCTGGATGTTGTAAGGATTTAAGGGTCTATGTGCAGTATGACATTGAAATAGTTCTGTTTACTTGAGGTTCATTCTTCTTTTATTTTGTTCTTTGTACGGCAACATGTAAAAAGTGTACCATTCAATAAATTAATCAAGAGATTGTTGAATATTTAAATTTATTGTTGAATTGTGATAATTGTTGTTGGTTGAGGAATATTATGAAGAATTTCATTATATTATTTTGTTATTTAATCGGTAATAATCAGGAAAATAAATTAATTACAAAATAAAAATATTTAAAAAAAAAAATTTACAAAAAAAATTCTTGACAATTTTAAGATTATTAAGGAATGAAAATTATTATTAATAAATATTTTTATTTTGCGTGAACCTTGAATATCCATGTAATACAATTAATCTTGCCTATATTCAATTTGTACATAAGAATCTCTCATCATCAATTTATGAAACTTTTTGAAATCATCAATGAGTTTTAATTCTTATTTTATTCAATCTATACTTTNTGGTAATAATCAGGAAAATAAACTAATTACAAAATAAAAATATTTTAAAAAAAATTTACAAAAAAAATTCTTGACAGTTTTAAGACTATTAAGGAATAAAAATTATTATTAATAAATATTTTTATTTTGCGTGAAATTTGAACACCCATGATAATACAATTAATCCTGTCGATACTCAATTTGTACATAAGAATCTCTCATCATCAATTTATGAAACTTTTTGAAACCATCAATGAGTTTTAATTCTTACTTTATTCAATCTATACTGTCTTCAACCTGTACTTTGGTGATTCTATAGATTTTTGAATCTTGGTGCCATCTGTTTGGTTCAGTTTCTAACATGTCTCATGTAGATATTGAATCAACGCCCCAATCTGGCTGATTCAGCAACACATTCAGTCCCATCTCTATACACAATTCACCGATTTGGTCGTACCCGCCTTTTTCTCATTTTTTTCATAAGACACTCACTTGAGCTACAACACTATCAGGTTGTACTTTCCTGATAAGACACTCTGACATCTAAAGTCAATCTCTCCGATAAATTACGGGCACAAAGGATAAACAACACAAATTTTGATTCAGATTCTCTAATCACGAAAACAAACATTTTTGTGTGTTCCGGTATGCAAACTTGCGAACTAACTCATCAGAAGCTCTCAAATCATCAGATTTTAATAATGAAAATGGCCACACGTTTTGCAGAGTTGAAACCAATCCAGTTGCCATTAAAATTACATTAACAAACAAAATAATCAACAAGATCAAACCCTATTCTACGTTCCTTAAGCAAAACTGGGTGAAAATTTCTATTAAAAAAGTGTGTGTGACAAAATAGAGGTATTTAATATTTAAATAACATGCAAAATTTTTATTCGAAGAATGAAAGAAAATTAAAAAAAGAAAAAAAGAAAAATAAATAATAGAAAAATACGTTCCAGCCTGACGGCATCCTTTTCAACGGTGTGAGCGCGTGACAGGAAGTTTGACGGTAGTTTGTGATGGATCGAAAAATTTGATGACTTTGAATAATGAATGTTGGCTTTATATGAGTAATTTGGTGTGGTAAGGAATACTCTTGTAGGATGAGTTCAAGTATAAATATCAGCCATGTGGGAAGAGGTATTTGGAGTCTATTTTTCATTAGTCCCATAGCTTTCATCGTATCTCTCACCGCATCCACCTCAGTCCACATGCCTTTAGGACCATATACTCAGTTACTCACATTACCATGAACTCTGCAAGAACTTTGCCTTTGGCTCGAAAGGCATTCACTCAATCATGTTATATGCCTCTTCTAGCCTTCCAACATGACCTATAAGGGTAGCCATGCAAGCATAATGCTCCATTTCGAAAACATTCAACACTCAATCTTTCATACNACTCACACTTTGCATACATATCACTTAGTGTCACAGACATGTAAATATCACCAAATATTCCTCTTTTGATAGAAAAGCAGTGAGTCGCCTTCCTGATCATCAATGCTCCAACACTTCAACAAGCTGATAGCAAGCAAGGTATTGTAACATTGTTTGGTGTCATCCCCACTATCTACATCTCTCTAAAAAGTTCTAATGCCTCAATACCTTTCCATTTTGTGAAAAACCAGCAACCATTGACGTCCAAGACACAACATGTAATTCCATTCCTTAGCTCTCGAATTGCCTAAAGACCTCCAATGCATTGTCAACAAGACCATTTCCTACAGAGACCTGTAACAAAAGCATTGCAATCACTTACATCCAAATTTTCCATTTCATGAAACTCTTTGGACATCTTCCATGTACACCCACACTTTCCATACATATCAATAAGTGAACTACTAACGCACTTGTTCTCCAATAAACCTCTTTAATCACAAAACCATGAATCTGAATCCCAAGTTTGGGTTCTCCAAGTCGCCCACAGCGGAAAGAACAATGGACAACACTGTGCTTCTCAGGAGTAAATCCTTCCAAATGCATCCTTTGAAACAAAAGAACCGCCTCTTCATAATGTCCACTATGATTAAACCCTGCAATCATACCATTCCAAGACAACACATTGGGTTCCACTCTTAAATGACCCATCTTGTTAAAGAGTTTTTTCGCTACATCCACGCACCCTTGTCGCGCGTAAACCGCAAGCAGAGCGCTAAAAGTTTCACATCCAGTTGGGCTAATTTGTCAAACACTTAGTGAGCGTCAATGTACATATGAATCAAAGAAGACTGAACAAACAAATCTAAATTAAACCCGTATACAAACACCATATGAATCACATTGTCATTGAAGTCTTGGTAATTTACATATTGAGCCAGAAGCTCTGTTGCGAGATCCGCGTCATTAGAGACGCCGGTTTTGAGAATGTGAGATGAATTGAGTGAGTTGACTTGAGGGTATGAAAGGCGTTGAATGTTTTCGAAATGGAGCATTATGCTTGCATGGTTGCCCTTCTAAGTCGTGTTGGAAGGCTAGAAGAGGCACATAACATGATTGAGCAAATGCCTTTCGAGCCAAAAGCAAAGCTCTGGTAGACTTCACGGTAATGTGAGTATGGTTGAGGCTACTGTTAAACATCACTTTGAGCTGGAACCTACAAACATCACTTTTAAATTATTTTTTTTCTCAAGGTCAGGTCAGGTAGTTTTTGGCAATGTTCTAAAACCGAACCTGACAATGACCCTTTCAAGGGTCTGGTTTCCAGTTTGATCGGTTGTGGTTTCCAGTTTGATCGGTTGAATCGGTCGGTTGGACCGTAATCTATAAAAAAATTTAGTCCTTTAAAGTTTGAAATTCATCAAAAACACCCCTATAATACTCCCTTAAGGTTTGAAATCTATCTAAAATACCCCTATCACGCGAAGATTCTGGTGAGTGGTGGCGACAGTGACGATCGACAACCAATCGAAGCTGGAATCTTGGGACTTTTGATGTGTAGGTTCCGGCGACTCTGATGGTGGTGCTAGGGAGTTCCATCGTCGTCAGAACTCGCCGGAATCAATGAAAGAAATCCGACGTCGCGTGAACTTTAGGTGGACGGCGATCAATGTAGGCTGGACGACGGCAACTGAAAATGGATGGTTTTGGTCGTGGAGATGCCGTTCGTCGAATGGGGGTGTTTTCTCCGTCAAAAGATGCCGGAATCCGATAGGGTTTAGTTGCGATTGGACCGCGAATCGACACTATTTGGTAGTCCAGCCGCTGTCCAATCCGGCTTGAATTAAAATAACAGTTTTTTATATATACCGGATTGGATTTGTCGCCGGTTGTCGGTCGAACCGATCCGACCAGGCGGTCCAGTCTAGTTTTTAGAACATTGGTTTTTGGGGCTAATGAAATATAGACTCCGAATATCTCTTCCCATGTGACAGACAATTAATGGTTTTTATATTTGAACTCATCCTACAAGACTAGTCCTTACCACACCAGATTACTCATATAAAGCCAACATTCATCGTTCGCATTCATCAAGAATAGTCCCAAGTCCTTACCACACTG